AGCAGCAGCAGTAGAAACTGCGTCTCTAGCAGCAGTTAAGTCCCCTGCAGCAGCTAAATCTTTGACATTCACAGGGGAAGGTGGAGGAGGTATTGCGAAGGCAGCAGCAGCGTTGACTGCTCCTCCTCCTTCTGCTGCTGCTGCTGCTGCTGCTGCTGCGGCGGCACCGAGCGACAACGATCCTTCTCTGGCTGCCACTCCTGGAAGCACTAGCGGTGCTGCTGGGGTGCGTGAGCCTGGACGCAAGCTGAAGCAGGAGATGCGCGCTAAAGGGAAGCAGGGGCAGGGGCAACTGGGGAAGGAACAGAGTGAAGGGCAGAAGAACATGAACGGGCTGGGAGAGGGAAAGGGTGCGGGCGAGCAGAAGAGGAAGCGCGTTTCTGCTGCTGCCGGAGACGGGAAGAAGAGCAGGGCAAGGGCGGAGCGGACTACCGCGCCTGAGAGTGCACATAGGAGGGAGGAGGAGCAGCGGGGGGATGGGGTAGAGGATGGAGATGGGGAGGGGAACAGTGGGGACGGCTTGAGGGAGGGGGAGGGGAGGGAAGCAGAAGCAATGGAGGCGAGGGGAGGAGGGGGGGAGGGAGGGGATGGGCAGGAGAGCGGGAGTCGGGAAGGGGAGGGCAATGCAGGGGAGGAGCATGAGGGGCACGACGGACATGAGGGACATGAGGGGCATGAGGGGAGGCGAGCATCGTTGGGAGTAACGGGTTTGTTCCAGCTGCCGTTCTCTCGAGTGAAACGAGTGGCACAGGGGGCTGTTGGCAGTAGCTTCAGCAGCTTGCACGATGGCGTGGGTGGGAGGGATAGGGGGAAGGAGAAGGAGAAGGAGAGGGAGAAGGAGAAAGAAAAGGAGATGCATCTGAGCACGGAAGCAGCATTGCTCATCACCCATGCAACGGTAGGTATTGCTCGAGGTGTTTTGCACGCCTCACAACTCGATAACGCTTCGCTCCACTCCACTTGTCCAACTCACATTCCCACTCATTCGTGCACTCATTCTCTCATCCTCTCATTCTCTCATCCTCCCATCCTCTCTTCTTGGAACCTGATCTCACTTCTGCTAATCCCTCTCATCCTCTCCCCCGTTCTCGTCCCCACACGGCCCCTTGATTGGGGCTCTAGTCGGCCAGTAGGTTACCGAACAACTACCAGTCCGCCTGGGTTGTTGTTTGTAGACAGCCCAGGGTGGTTCTGAGAATTCTCGAAAACAACCCCCAACTTAACTGGGACCCAGGTGGGCTGCGAGGAGGAGCATAGAACAGCCACATCCTGTCAGGGTGAACTGTGTTTTGAGGCGACTCAAAACACAACCCGGGTGGGCTGCAAGGAGGACCATAGAACAGCCACGTCCTGTCAGGGTGGACCGTGGAACTGAGAATTCCACTTATGAGAATTTCTTAAAAGTGATTTCAACATAGGACCATATAACAGCGATGTCCTGTCAGGGTGGAGTCTGAAAATTCCACTAGGATTGCTTGCTGCCAGCCACTAGCCAGGGTCTAGCGATCTTGTTGTGTCGTCTCAAAACTCGATTTAAACGTAGCCAGCAAAAAGGGGCAAGCGGTTTGTGTAAGCTTTTTGACTTTTGAGTCGACTCATAAGGGGCAAGCGGTTTGTGTAAGCTTTTTGACTTTTGAGTCGACTCAAAAGGGGCAAGCGGTTTGTGTAAGCTTTTTGACCTTTGAGTCGACTCAAAAGGGGCAAGCGGTTTGTGTAAGCTTTTTGCGAGGTCTCTAAAAGTGGGCCACAGGAGCTTTTCCTGGGAGTGTGCGTGACAGAGGCACTGAAGCACTTTTGAGAATTCTCAAAAGTGACACACCATTGCAGAGCAGAGCTCATTCTTTAGGCGCCTCAGAAATCAACTCAAGGCCACGTTCCCCTCCTTTGTCAATCGCAATCTCATCCCGGCTACAGGAGCTTTTCCTGGGGGTGTGCGTGTCAGAAGCTCTGGAGCACCCGCACACCGTTGCAGAACAGAGCGCGATGCTGCACTACCGGCACGTAGGTAAGTGCGAATCAGCGCAGACAGACTTCCGTTCCCTTGCGTTTGAGTCGACTCGAGTGCAAAGCAGCGCAGGGAGTCTTCCTTTACGTTGCGGCCGCCTTTCTTCCCCCCTCGTCTCACCCTTCTTTTTGCAACCGTTGAATACCTCAACGTTTCGTGCGTGCTGCTTTCCGTGCGTGCTGCTTTCCGTGCTTGCTGCGGGTGCATGTAGGCACTCCGTGTGGCTTTTGAGTAAATTGGAAAGGTGTCTAGTTTTCGAGCTTGCTGGTGGTGCTGTCTTGCACAAAACAAAGAGCAAGAACAGGAACAGGAACAGGAACAAGAACAAGTACAAGAGCAAGAGCAAGAGCAAGAGCAAGAGAAAGAACAAGAACAAGAATATGAACAAGAACAAGAACAAGAACAAGAACAAGAGCAAGAGCAAGAGCAAGAGCAAGAGCAAGAACAAGAACAAGAACAAGAACAAGAACAAGAACAAGAACAAGAACAAGAACAAGAACAAGAGCAAGAGCAAGAGCAAGAGCAAGAGAAAGAACAAGAACAAGAATATGAACAAGAACAAGAACAAGAACAAGAACAAGAGCAGGAGCAAGAGCAAGAGCAAGAGCAAGAACAAGAACAAGAACAAGAACAAGAACAAGAACAAGAACAAGAACAAGAGCAAGAGCAAGAGCAAGAGCAAGAGCAAGAGCAAGAACAAGAACAAGAGCAAGAGCAAGAGCAAGAGCAAGAGCAAGAGCAAGAGCAAGAGCAAGAGCAAGAGCAAGAGCAAGAGCAAGAGCAAGAGCCATTTCCCCGCATGCTGCATCGGAACTGGATTTTGAGACGTCTCAAAACAAAAACAAGAGCCGTCCCCCCTGCTTGCTGCATTGGAAATGAAAGAGATGAGTCTTGGCATGCACATCACAGGTCCTCAGTGGCTCAAGTCTCGCTCCCACTCCAGCCCAGCCGGGCCAGCCTAATCAACGCCTCTTCTCTCTTCCTTCCTTACTCAAGGTGACTTTTGAGGCGACTCAAAAGTAGCTAGGCCAGCCTTGTCGACACCTCTTCTCTCTCCCTTACTCATCACCCATTTCCCCGTCGTCCCTCCGTTTCCCACTTCCCCCTTCTTCCCTCTCCTTATCCATTCTTCCCTCTCCTTATCCATTCTTCCCTCTCCTTATCCATTCTTCCCTCTCCTTATCCCTTCTTCCCTCTCCTTCCCCCTTCCCCCATTCCCCTTTCTCCTGTTCTCCCTTTCTCCTTCCCGTCCCCCACCCCCCCCTTTCCTTTTCTTGTTGCACTGCGCAGCTGCTGTTGTTTCAGACACTCCTCGTTTCGAGTTTCTGTCAGGTTAGATTCAGATGGGACCACATCTGTCACTTGGAATCACATGGGCGCTGCTTGGCCTTGCTAGTGTTGTGTTGCCTATGCTTTCTCTTGGTGCGACTTTTGAGGCGCCTCAAAATACACCTCACGACCTGCTAGTGTTGTGTTGCCTATGCTTCTTCTTCTTGGTGCGACTTTTGAGAATTCTCAAAAGGCTCTGCTTGGACTTGCTGGAGTCGCGCCAATATGACTGGCTGGTGTTGTGTTGCCTATGCTTCTTCTTCTTCTTCTCGATCTCTTTTCCGATGGCAACAGAATCCCCAATCCATCCCTCTTCTACATTCCACACTCTACACTCGTTACAGTGTACAGTCTTTGACAACTCCTCTCTTGTAACTCACCCATGCTGCCGAGAGCTGACCTTCCTCTTCTATTCACCTCAACTTTCCTCTCTGCCTCCCTCTCCCTTGCTTGGCACCCTTTCCCCTTTTTATTCTCCCCTGCTTCCTCTCCCCTCCTCCCTCTCCGCGCTATGTCATACTAACGGTGCATACAATAGACTTTGTGCCACAGACGGTTGTGGCTCGGAGAGTCAAGCCCTCTGCGCCTGCACGGGAAGAGCAGCCCGCATGATGTATGTACTAGCGTTACTAGTGCTGCTGCTTCTGTTTCTGAGTCGACTAGAAAGCCAGTTATGGCTCGGAGAGTCAAGCACTCTGCGCCCTCACGGGAGGAGCTGCCCACATGATATATGTATACTATACTACCGGTACTAGTGCTGCTGCTGACCATGCAGCTGCAGCAGCTGCTGATCATGCAGCCGTTGCTCCTCTGCTCCTCCACGGGAAGATTTTCTATGCGCCTCAAAAGATGGTTGTGGTTCGGAGAGTCAAGCCGCTTGCTCCTCGACAGGAGTAGCAGCCCGCATGATGTATCGTATGTAGTGCTGCTGCTGCCTCTGTTTCTGAGTCGGCTAGAAAACCAGTTGTGGCTTGGAGAGTCAAGCTGTCGGAGCCGCCCACAGCTGCTGCTGACCATGCAGTTGCAGCTGCTGCTGCTGCTGCTGACCATGCAGCTGCAGCAGCTGCTGCTACTAGTGTTGCTGCTGATAATGCAGCCGTTGCTCCTCTGCTCCTCCACGGGAGTGATGTTGCGGCGGTTGCTTGCTGCTCTGCTGCACTTGATTCAGCAAGTGCAGTGCAGTGCATCTGTGTTTTTCTCTGGTTTGGTGCTCATACCGTGCCTCCATGTCAGGGTATTTCTATCCCAAGCGCCTCTAGTAGTGAGAAAAGATACTGATGCTGCTGCTGTGCACAATGCGTAACGTGTCTGGAAAGTGTTCTTTGCTTGGAAATAGACTGGTGAATGCGGTGTTATTTTTTATCCTCTTCAAACACCTTGGTGCAAGTGTACACTATGTGACAGTCATTCAACACTAAACACATTCCAGCAGAACATTTCTACCGTAGGTACAGCTTGTTTTTCATTGTGGCATAACCAGTTTGTACAACCATACCACCGTATATGTACAATACAACCGCAAAATGAGCTCCTGGGACCTCGAATGCTTGACCTACCCTACTTGATTACTCAGCACGTGTGACACAACCTGCTCCCATGAAACGGCCAAGGGAAGGGACCCTGTCCCCCTATAAATTCATGGCTCAAAAAAGCTAAACTGAGGCACCTAAAGCTGAGAGTGCATGTCCCTTGCGACCCATGCACTGGTGGTGAAATCAGCTGCGATCTGCACTCGCATTACCTCGTGCACTGCACCCCTGCACACCACTCCCAACAGCCTCCGAGCCTCGGGTGTTGCTGCGGAGAGAACAGGCTCGGCACGAGAGGTAGCAGGTTCGGGACGAGGGGGAACAGGTTCGGCAACGGCAGCTACAGAAAGAGCGGCAGGAGGAGGATTGGCAGCAGCAAGAGCAGCACCAGTGCCATCATCACCACTGGCAGTGGCAGCAGCAGCAGCAGCTGCAGCAGCTGCAGCAGCAAAATCTTTGAGTTGCACAGAGGCGGTTAGCATCTCGTCTCTCATTCGGAATCCCACGTGGCCCCATGCTCCCAGCACCCACCACCGCACACACACCACCCTTCTTGCTGTTCCCGAGGCCTGCAGGGCAGTGAGCAGGAGAGACGGCTGCGACGGGGAAATGGGGTAGAGAAGAAAGGGCAGGGAAAAGGGCGAAACTGGTGCTGAGTCAGAGTGTGCCAAGTGCTCAGAGTGCGGTACATGTTCCCAGAGTGCTCAGAACTGCATGCATGCATTGACAGTACCCGAGTGCACATTGCACTCACATTACGAGATGGCCCAAGCTTATCCTTTAACTCATGCACACCTGTGCTACCCTTGCACTCACTATGTGCTCCATCCGCTTCCCCACCCCCCCCGCATCCATCTCACCTACCTTCTTCAACCACTTTCCTCTTTTTCCGCACCCCCCCCTCTTCCCCAAACCTTCGCTCTCTTCTCCCACCATTCTCCCCTTTCCCCCTCCCCTCCTCCCCCCGCTCCCACCCACTCTTCCCCCCCGCATCCATTCTCGTCCAAACCCTTCTATCTCACCTCAACTCTAAGGTTCATCAATGCATGATGCACCCCCAAGAGATTAAGTAACACCGACAGCTGCGGACTAAGAAGCAGTCTCGCCACGTCAGCAAAGACGAGGCGCGAGCACGCGAGGAGGCCCAGCGCGACCTGGTACTCCTTCACCTCCAGCGAATCATGGCGCGCTGCTGACGTCACGAATGACGTCAGCAGCGCCGCCGTCTCCCCCACTGCTGCTGCGCGCTGGCGGAAACGTTGGCGCCAGGAGGGGGGGAGGGGGAGCTCTGAAGCGGGATTGCGCCAGGAGGGGGGTAGGGGGAGCTGCGGGGGAACGGGGGGAGGAATATGGAAGTGCGGGCGAGAAGGGAAAGGGGGGAAAGTGGGGGTGAGCGAAGAAGAAGCGGAGATGGTTGCTTGAACGGGGACGGGAAGGTTTAGAGTGGGGAGAGAGGAGGAAAGAGGGAGGGAGGGGATGTTGTGGGGTATGAAATTAATTTGGACGTAGCTGACGGGAGAGGCTTATAGAATGTTCAGAATTACGAGTACGTTCAAGGCCACATAGATTGCACAAGGCCCCACATGGGGCCACATGGCCCCACATGGCCCCACATGGCCCCACATGGCCCCACATGGCCCCACATGGCCCCACATGGGGCCACATGCGGCCATACCGTAAGCACGACAGGATGTGGTCCCACATGGGTCCCCACATGGGGCCACATGTGGTCTCACCTTAGTAACTTCCGAGTCAGCACGATAGGAACCAGCGGCACGCGGCAGGATAATTGCTGTAGGCGACGGTGGCGATGCGGAGAGGAAGGATTCCGTCGGAGACGAACCGGCAGAAGCAGAGTCAACGCTGCCACCGTCAACGTCAATGTCAACGTCAACGTCAGCGTTGCCGCGACGGCTCGGGTCGTCGGCGCCGTCCCAGTCCGCCACGTCTCGGCCCCACCGCGCCGCGTACAGCGCTCGCCAAACCGCGTCGCTGCTGCACGCGGCTCGCCAGCCCGTGCTGCAGGCGGAGAGGTGGCGCACGCTGCTGGGGGGAAGTCGCTTCAAGACAAGATAGATGACGTCAGCGGGTAAGTCGGAAAGTTTGGTGGAGGAGCGAGGGATGTAACTACTCGGCCACGTCATCTTGAGGATGGCACAGTGGTAACGCTAACGGTAACGAGCGTCCCGAACTGATTAATATTACAAGTAAATGTTTCCGCCGCCGCTGTGGTGACGCGTTGTGACGGTCGTTCAATGAGGAAAAAAGTATCGTGACGGCGATTTCTTGTTTCCTACTACTCTTGAACTACATTACAGTAGCATCCCCAAAAGAGTGGCGTGTGAGAATAATGTTAATTTTTTGAAGAGGCATAAAATAGCCACTATGATTGCGGAAGGCGACACGAGAAACGAGGAAGAAGGTTCAACGTATAAAGCAATTTAGCAGTTCAGAGGGTGCATCCCAGTACCGGCAGCGGTGTTCGCGATGGGTGCGGAGAGCAGGCCCAATAAACCAGGGAATGTAGACGGCTCGTCAAACTTTGGAAGCAAATGAGTGGACAAGCAAAGGAGCTCGAAAACGGCGTTCTACATAATGCGATGCGACTGCATGCAGGAAAGGCCCAAGAACAGAAATGGGCCAAACAGATAGGCGCAATTGTGGCAAACATTTGTTCGGGGACTGGAAGATGTAGGGTGGCAAGTGTTTGGGGGAGGGGGACCCTAAACAAGAAAATCATAACCAAGGGGGATGTGGGGGGGATGGAAGAGGGGGAGGTGGAAACGCGCTGCGTGCAGGTTGAGAGAATGTGGACCTGGGTAGAGAGCACCGAGGTTATTTTATTTTCCATTCCAGGCTATTCACGTTGAGAAAATCGAGAAGAATACATAGGGAGCGGGATTAGCGTGGAACTTAACGGATATATAGTGGAGGGAGAAGCGTGCAGGGGAAACTAATACACGTTCAGGGCTAAAGCGGGGTAACTTTGCATGACAAAACGTGCTCAGCACAGTCGAGGTACACATTGGCCAGTAATCGTCAACCACTGCGCTACGCACACGTGGTATGCGCTGCTGGCCGAAGGAATTGAAACGTCAGCATGAATAATGGTGAGGTGTTATAGGAGGAAAGAAAATACGCGTTTGTAGTATACTGCGATATATAGTTAAAATGTCAGTGCATGAGCCAGTCAGTTTCGTTCATGTTTATATAGTCTAGCATGCATTTTCTCGAAGGTATGTAGAGTTATTCCAGCACTGATGTCATTTTTACCACTTCAATTTCCAGCCTGTGAAGCTTGCCGTTCCAGCTGGCATGTGGCAGGTGTTTTCTTGTTCAGTTGCAACGGACGGGATAGCAGCCTGTGGGCAGGTAATGAACTTGAGAGGTCTGGCTGCAATGGGAATTTGACACGCCAGGTCAGACCGAAAGTTCCTAAGTAATCCCAGTTTCGGCCAGACAGTACAGAAGTAAACGCCGATTTGTAAAGAATCAAAACACCACAGGCCAGTACGTCGCGGTTTCGGGCAGACCATACAGTCCACTACACCGCTGTTTTTCACACCAAATTCCACAGGCCAAGACCTTGGGCTCCACCTCAAATCACCAACATTGATGTTGTCGCGAGGTTGCTGAGATTGCGGTTCGGAGCCACACCTCAGGCCGCAACGAGGCAAATCTGCTACATGTAGGCATCGTTCCTTCATGATCAGTGCGGCTGAGCATTTTCGTTTGTTCACAATTGACGCTGAAAGGTTCAGTATGGTGCGCAATGGTCCGAAGAGGTTAAAAATAATGACCGTTCTTAAACGTTGATGACCGTGTTAAACCGCGTCAAACGAACCCTGGACGAATAAGCATCACCCGCCCTCAAATTGCTGTTGGTGAAAGAAACTCGGAAAAGCAGAGTGAAGATTCGTGGGTGGAAATCAAAATGCCAGTGGCATGGCTGGCATGGCTGACACGGCCATGACTGGAGAAGGTAAAGTAACTCAACGCTACCTATGGCTACCTGGCTGTCTGCGCCGACTCCGGTGTCACATTCTCTCTTTCTACATTGCAACCCTCCAAGGTTCTTTCACGATTCCATCCATGGTCGTCATGTTGACACGCATGGATGCATGGTGCTTTGCTGATTCCGCTTGTGACTTGGTGTTGTAATTGGTAACCACCATCGCGCCATCCAACTTCTCCAACATGAGTTCAGTTCAGTCAGAAGCTTTTCACACTCCGTTCGACTCATCAGCAGTGACCACCTTGGTCACTGCGAGCGACCATATCAGCCACTTCCCCCAACAAGGTCTCAAACCTGTCTGTAGTCTTCTCACATCGAAAAGTTCCAAGACTGGCAACGTTCTTCAGACAAGTGTGCTGTTTCCGTCGCACTGAAAACAAAGTACATTGTGCTGTGAATTCCGCTGATCTGAACGCTACTAGATCTGAACTGCGCTGTGAATTCTCCAAAGTTTCCCTCTCTCTCTCTCTCTTTCTCCCCCTCATACCAAGAGAAAGTACTGGTAGTAGTAATAGTAGGTCGAACCTAGTTTTGCTCTTCTCGCGCTCTTACGACCGTCTACGTCTCGCAGATCCCAAGGTCGTCCACCCCATCGTGAAAATTCCCCAGTTGCCGCGCGAATCCGGTGACCTTTGCTACGCCATCGGGACCTGGCTTCAAAGAACTAAATTCACCAATTGGTTGAGTAGACAAGCGGCGAATTCGACCAGCCTTTCTAACCGAGTCGAGTCGAGTCGAGTCGAGTCTCATCATCGTACGGCCCGCCGCCTGTGAATCCACTCCCTATTATTCAGCAACCAAACAGATATTCAACACCGCGTTTCTCTCCTCATGTGCACCGTCGGATCGTCGCGAGCTGACGCCCTTCCTCCCCATCCGCACCATCCTTCAGTCGCACCGTACCGCTGCGGCCGAGCGGACCCAGGGCCTCGTACTACTCGTAGTACTAGCAGAGCGATGCGCGCGTCTCCAGCTCGCGATGGGAACCCACGCGACGCCGATCCGATTGAAACCCTCCGCCGTGATGATCGCCGGAAATCGCGGGTACGGGTCGACGAACAAGAGTCGTCGTCAATCCGTGCGGCGATATCGTCGCCGTCGCGAAGGATCGCGAAAAGCTCCAATGTTACAACTGGCAGCAACTGTCACAAAACGACCATGCGCGGCGGGATCCCCGTGGTCAACGTGGACTTGAGCCCCCCGCGGCACAGGCGCGTGCGATCTGGTCCGGTAAGCCTGAACGTGGAAGGCGAGCGGAAAACGGCCGCGCGGGCCGGCGGGCGCGAGCGCAGATCTGCGGGGAGAGCAACGCCGGGGGGAAAGGTGGCTCCGGCGGACGTAGGGAGCATCGCGTGGGCCGCGTGGCAGCAGCAGCAGCAGCAGGAGAAGCTATGGCAGAATCAGGGGGGGAAAGCGGCAGGGGTAAACGGGCCTAGCAGCGGAGAGGAAGGAGAGGTGGAATATGAGGGGGAGGACGAGGACAGGGGAGGGGAGAGAGGATCTGGAAGGAGGGAAGGGAGGAGGCAGCGGGGCGAGAATCGAAGTGTGAGTGGCGAGATGGATCTAGAGCTGTATGGGAAGATCCGTGGGGTGGATAGGAGCCATCACAGGCGGAGCCAGAGCACGGGTGACGCGTTGAGAAGCAAGCTACCCGCTTGTTCGTCCTCTTCCTCTTCCTCTTCCACTTCATCCTCTTCCTCTCCTTCCACTTCGTCGTCTTTCTCGTCCTCATCGTCCTCATCGTCTTCATCGTCCTCATCTTCTGTTGCATCTCACCATGACAACACGCCTACTAGCTCCGTCGCTATGACCTGTTCCTCGTCGTTGTCCTCCTCCTCCTCCTCCTCCTCCTCCTCCTCCTCCTCCTCCTCCTCCTCCTCCTCCTCCTCCTCCTCCTCCTCATCCTCCACCCCCTCTTGCACCTCCATCGTCTCCTCCTCCTCCTCCGTTTCTCGCGGCGAGCCCACGCTTCCACGTACTCATCCCGTCTCTACCTCACCCACCTCCACCCCATCTTTAGTCCTCACGAACTTGCATCACCCAAGCCTGAAACAGCAACAGAAGGAGGAGGCGGCGGCGGCGGCGGTGGCGGAGGAGGAGGAGGAGGAGGAGGAGGAGGAGGAGGAGGAGGAGGAGGAGGAGGAGGAGGAGGAGGAGGAGGAGGAGGGGGAGGAAGAAGAGGAGGAGGAGGGGGAGGGAGAGGATAAGCGAAAGGAAGAGGAGGAAGAGGGAGAGCGGGAGGGAGATGAGAAGCGAAAGGAAAAGGAGGAGGGAGGTGAAAGGAAAACGGAAGGGGAGAGAGCAGGGAGATGCAGAGGGCGCAGGGTGTCATTTCCTGATCAAGAGATTTCCGAGAATTCCCAGAAAACGTTCGCAGATCAAGAGCGTTTATCATTGGAGCAGGCATCTGCGGTGGAAGCGAGTGGCAAGACACATAAAGACAGCAACAGTGCAGGCAGCAGTCACGACGAGAATGCTGTGGGAAGGAACGGCTCCAAGGGTGGTGCTGCTAGCAGCACCAGCACCAGCGGCAGCACCAGCGGCAGCACCAGCGGCAGCACCAGCGGCAGCACCAGCAGCAGCAGCAGCAGCAGCAGCGGCACCAGCAGCAGCAGCAGCAGCAGCAGCAGCAATCCCGCATCTCTCGGCAGCATAACAGCGCGCAAGCGGTGGCACGAGGCAGTGCGGCACATCATCCAGTTACAGCGCGTGGCACAGGCCATGATGGCCCCGGCAGAGGTCGCAGCAGCCGTGGGGGAGCTCTCCGCGCTCTCCCTCTCCCGCCAGAGCAACCTCCTCACCTCCCGCATCTCCGCCTGCCGCCGAGCCCTCGTACACTCTCGATCCGCGCCTGCTGGTAGAGATTTTGGTGTGAGAACCGGTGGTGGGGAATCGGGTGCGGCGATGAGAGGTGCGGGCGGAACGGGTGTTGTTGTTTATGGCGGCGGCAGTGGCGGGGTTGGTGGTGGTGCTGCTGCTGCTGGGGGGGTTAGTGACTCTGCGGTTGCGAATCTGCTTGCTCGGAAGCAAGGGTTCCAAGGCACCCGTCTGGCCGAACGCCTGCTTGCCACGCCGTGGGATGACAACAGCAGCATGGGGGGGTTAACTGGCAGTGCTTCTGGTGCGGCTGGTGCTGCTTTCCCCAGATCTGTGACTATGGGGGCGGGCGTTGTGAGACACGCGGAGGGGATGAGGGAAGGAGGGGAGGAGGAGGTGCCGAGAAGAGTGGGAATGTTTCCTCGTGCTACCACTTTCGGTGCTGCTGTAGGTGGTGGTGGAGGCGGAGGAGGAGGAGGAGGCGGAGGGAGCAGGGGGGGACTGGGGTGGAAACGGACGATGAGTAGAAGCAGGCTGGGTAGAGCGAGTGGCGCGGGGGGGGACGATGCAGGGCGGGGTTCAGATGGGCTGGGGAGTGGTGAGCATGGGATTGGTGAGCATGGTGGCGAGAATGGTGCGGACCCAACAACGGTTGATGATGATGATCCCTCAACTATCGCAGAGTCACTCTCTCTTCTACCTCCTCTACCACCAACATCACGTGAGCTCACCTCAGCTTCTCACGCGTCCTCTCTAAAGCAAAAGCCGCCGTTGCCGTTGCCGCCGAGTGACTCAACAACACACGGAGCGTCTCTCTCTGGAAGCGGTTCTAGCGGTTCTAGCCGGAGCAGGGAAAGCGGGCTGAGTTGCACAGCAGGCGAAGCTGCTGGGCACGCAGCATGTACTGCAGCATGTACTGCAGCATGCCCAGCACCGTGTCAAGCAGCAGAAGGAGAGGGTTCGAGCTGTCAGGGGAACGGCCACCACGTGGGTCACGTGGGTGGGTCATTTGGAAACGCGAGCGGATCCAGCAGTGGCCACGTCAGCAGGAGTCAGCAGCTGCGCACGCTGACGCTCGCGCGGATCGCGTCGTTCCGGAGTGCCAGCCTGGCGAGAGGCACGCAGGGGGCGGGAGGCGGGGGAGGGGAGGCTGGGGAGAAGGAAGGGGGGACGGATGCGAACGGGGATGAACAGTCCGATTCTCGTGACTGCAGTGGTGGTGCTGCTGGTGATGCTGCTGGTGATGCTGTTGCTGCTTGTGACGGCGGTGGTGGTTGTGACGGGGAAGTTAAACGGCGGCCTCCCCCATTGAAGCTGGAAGAGCTGATGGGAGTCACAGGGGAGGAAGAGGAGGCGGAGGAGGAGGAGGAGGAAGAGGAGGAGGAGGAGGATGAGGATTGGGAGGAGGAAGGAGAAGGGAAAAATCGCGGCGGTATCGGCGACCCTTATACCCATGGTTCTGCTCCTTCTGGTGCCGCTGGTGCTGATTCCGGAATACGGGAGATTAGCTACAGGCTTGGCCTTGCGACAAGCAGACGAGCACAGAGCATCAGCATTGGCGCCAGCACTGGTAAGAGTGGCGACAGCGGCAGCAGCAGCAGCAGGGGTGAGAGGAGCAGGAGGAGGAGCAGGAGGGGGAGCAGGAGGGGGAGCAGGAGGGGGAGCAGCAACATGAGTATCGATGTTTTGAGACGTCTCAAAACAAGTATGGATCGCAGCCGCAGGAACAGCATGGGAGATGCCTCGGACATTGGTGGACCTTCCCAGGCTTGGTTAGCAGAAACCAGCAATGGGGATGATGCAGGGAGGGGAATCGGCAGCACGGGAGAGGGAGCAGAAAGCAGGCGGGGGGGCAGAGTGGAGGAGAGTAATGGGAGTGGGAGTGGGAGTGGGAGTGGGAGTGGGAGTGGGAGTGGGAGTGGGAGTGGGAGAGGCATGGTGGCGGTGTCAAGTAGTGAAGATTTGGTTAGCATCAGTGCGGGAAGTGCCGCGAGCAGCGTTAACAGCAGCAGTAACGTGAGCCCTTTGTCGCGGAGAGCTGAGATGGTGTCACAGAGAGCAAGCACCACAGATGGTGCCCTGGGTATGAAAACACGCGGGGAAATCGCTGCCGCCGCCGCCGCCGCCGCCGCCGCCGCCGCCGCCGCTGCTGCTGCTGCTGCTGCTGCTGCTGGTACTAGTGGTAGTGGTGCTGCTGCGGGACGTAGTAATACCGCTCGGCACCCATCCGTCCCCGTCCGCACTCCTGGCTCCTCCCTTCTCACCCCTTTCTTCTCCAAGGCTGGCATTCGCAGCATGCGCTTGACCAAGCACGCACCCAGCAAGCATCTCGCAGGCGAATTTCTCCCTTCTCCCAACATGATTCCCAGCTCCATCTCCTCCTCCTCCACCCAATCCGCTGCTTCATTGCCTCATATGCATGGGGGCGAGAGCAATACCAACGAAATGTGGGGGGGGGAGGGGGGAATGGCAGGCGAAGAACCAGCAGGAGGGAGGACTCTAGATGCCAACGCCACTCTTGCTGCCGCAGCGGCTGCCGCTGTCGCTGCTGTCGACTCCACTGCTGACACAGGCAGGGAAGAAGAAGGAGGAGACTTCCAGGCTGCTGCTGCTGCTGCTGCTGCTGCTGTCCCCCGTCGCGCTGCTCTCCTGCGTGCCTCCACCTTCTGGCATCGCAGCAGCAACTCCTCGTCTCCCTCTCGCACCCGCCCCGGGAAGCACAACCGTTCTTCCTCTCACTCGCTCTCACACTCGCCCTCGCGTGCCCGCATTGCGCACAGCAGCAGCAGCAGCCACAAGAGTGACGCTAACCAGAACCAGCACGCGTCCAAGCCGTCTCACGCTTCCCCTGCTGCTGCTGCCCTGGCAAGGCTTGCAGGTCTTGCCGTCCCTCCCGCCTCGTCCCCCCCCTCTTCATCCTCCGCCTCCTCGTCTGTAACTCGTACCCGGGGTAAGCGAGCAGTGCTGGCAGTGGCAGGACACAGGATTGCAGGGAAGCTGGGAGTGAGAGGCTTGGGCGGGGCAGGAAGCAGCAGGGGGAGCGGGTCTGTGGGGACGAATGGAACTGTGATTCCCGGTGTAGGTTGTGCCAATCTGCCGCTGGTGCCTCGGGCGTTTGCTTATGCAGAGCTAGCGCTTGCCACTGATGGGTTTGCGAAGCGGAATATGATTGGGTGTGGGGGGTTCGCACGCGTGTACAAGGGGAGGTTGCTGGAGGGAAAGAAGGTGGCGATTAAGGTTATGCGGAAGAGTAAGAGTGGTGAGGCGGAGTTTAAAGGGGAGATGAGTGCGTTGACTCATGTGAATCACCCTAAGATTGTCCAGCTGCTTGGGTTTTGCATAGAAAGGAACATGAGAATGTTGATCTATCCGTTGCTGAGTAGAGGGAGTTTGGAAGGGTATTTGAAGGCGATACGGGAGGGGGGGATGGTGGGAGAGGGGGGAGATGGGGAGGAAGAAGAGGAGGAAGTGGAGGAGGAGGAGGAAGAGGAAGGGGGGGAGGAAGGAGAGGAGGAGAGAGTGTCTGATGGGGCGGGAGCAGAGGAGGAGGGAGAAGGGATGGGGAAGAAGCTAATTGGAAAGGAAGAGGCGGTTGGGGTGCAAGAGAGTTTGGGTAGTCTGAGGGAGGCGAAATTAGGAGAAGCAGCAGGGCAGGGGAAACGCAGCAAGGCAGGGGGTGGCGGGAAGGGAGTGCGGTCAGAGGGCGAGAAACGCAAGGCGAAGAAGACAAAGAGCAAAGGAGGAGCAGGAGGAGGAGGGGGAGGGGCAGCGAGTGGGTTATCTTGGGCGAGGAGAGTGCAGATCGCAGCAGGGTTGTGTGAGGCGGTGCACTATCTTCACCACGGCATGGGACGCACTCTGTTGCACCGAGACCTTAAAGCCGCCAACGTGCTTCTTGACAGCAACTGGCAGCCCATGGTGAGTGAGTTTCTTCTTGTGTCCACGCGAGAACCAGGTAGCAGCAGCAGGGTTGTGTGAGGGAGGCGGTGCACTAAATGCACCACAGCAAGGGACGCATGCTGCTACGTGATAAAAGTGTTGTTTTGAGACGTCTCAAAACAACACTTTTATTATCTGCACCATGGCATGGGACGCATGCTGCTGCACCGAGACCTCAAAGCGGCCAACGTGCTTCTTGACAGCAACTGGCAGCCCATGGTGAGATGATTCTGGACTGTAGCATGGGCTGTAAATCACACCAGCCTTTTGCGAGCCGGTAAATCACAACAACCTTTTGCGAGCCGGTAAATTACAACAGCCTTTTGCGAGCCGGTAAATCACAACAGCCTTGTGTGAGCCAAGGTTCGATTCCTCAATTCGCCTCCCCTAAACCCTCTTAAATTGTTTTTTTTTCTGCCCTCTCTGATTTCCCTGCTCTCTTCTCTCCTCCCTCTATCTCCTCTCCTCGCTCTATCTCCACCCTTCACGTTTTCTCCTCTCCTCCATCACTCACTTCTTTTTTCCCCTCCTCCCTCCTACCCTCCTCCCCTCCACCCTCCTTCCCTCTGCCCTTCTACATTTCTTCTGCATTTCCTCCCTTTCTCCTCCTCCCTCCTCTCTTCTCCCCCCACCCCCCCAGCTCGCGGATTTCGGGCTGGCTTTATTCCTGGAGGAGGGCGGCGAGCAGGGGGAGGTGCAGGAGGTGCAGGGCACGCTGGGGTACATGGCACCCGAGTACTTCATGTTCGGCGACATGGGGCCCACCTCTGACGCCTACAGCCTCGGGATTGTCCTCCTCGAGATCATCACCGGGCGGCGCGCCATTGAGATGGACCCTCCCCCGGATGAGGACAACAATCTCGTCGTCTGGGTGAGTAGGGGACGGGGGAGAGCTGGGTGAGTAGGGGACGGGGGAGAGCTGGGTGAGTGGGGGACGGGGGAGAGCTGGGTGTGTGGGGGACGGGGGAGAGCTGGGTGGGCGGGGGTTTTATGCTCACTCGGGAGGCGTGTGTCAAAGAATGTTCCATGTGATATTTTGAATTCTCAAATCTCAAAACTACCCTGCAACGACAAAGAACGTGCCTTTCAGATGGACCCTTCCCGGGATGAGGACAACAACCTCGTCGTCTGGGTGGGTGAGCGGGGAGAGCTGGTCAGGGGTTTGTGAGGAGGCGTGTCAAGAACATACCATGGCAATGAACCTCCCGCAGATAAAGCCAAAATGTCCATGCTCTCGTACCCCAACCCCGACCCCAATCCCAGCACAAACCCGTACCAAGGATAGAAGCTCAAGAGCGTGCAGGTGGAGGCATGTAGTGGGCCTGTGCTTGCACAGCCCGCCCATGTTTCCGCACACACTACCCTATCCACCAGTTTCTTCCTCACCCTCTCAACCTCTCTCAATGCCAACCCCAAGTCTTGTCCAATCCAATCCCAACCCAGTCCCGATTTCATCCTTTCCCCTTTCCCGAACCCAGCCGCAACAGCCGCCCATGCATGAAGGAAGAGGCGATGGTGCACCCATGCCTACGCGACCCATGCTTTTCCAAACAACCTATACTTTCTCAACCTCAACCCCAACCACAAGCCCAACCCCAAAGCTGAGGAGCATGCAGGTGGAGGCTGCTCGTGTTAACCCCCAATCTCACATTTTGTACTTGTACTTTCTTACATCCTAGTTTAGTGTAGTTAGCACTTAGTGTTTGGTTGGGTGTACACTCACATCCCATCCATCTCTTGCTTATCCTGGATGTACGTAAAGAGCTTCAAGCTCATTACTAATGCATGGATTCTTAGCTCAAGTTCTGACAGAGGCAATAGTGGACCCGTGAAAGCCATGCCCTGCTTTCCCCCATGGTTCCCTATTCTCCCAAGCCCTAACTCAACCACCTTCTAATTCCTCATCCCCATCCGTCACCCGTGCAGGCACTCCCAACCCACAGCTGAAGAGCATGCAGGTGGAGGCGATAGTGGACCCATGCCTGAGGGGCCGGGCCGCTACGACCGCGCGTCCCTCCGGCGCACTGCTGCTGCTGCTATCACGTGCCTCCTCATTACCTACCAATCCCCTTACCCAACCCCATCCGCCACCGATGCAGGCGCTCTCAAAGCTGAAGAGCATGCAGGTGGATTTTGAGGCGCCTCAAAAGGCGCTCTCAAAGCTGAAGAGCATGCAGGTGAAGGCGATAGTGGACCCGTGCCTGAGGGGGCAATGCTTTCTCCATCATGCCTACCTCAAACACAATGCCACCCCTAATTGCCGCCCATGCAGGCACTGCCGAAGCTGAAGCATGCAGGTGGAGGCGATAGTGGACCCATGCCTGGTCAACCCATGCTTCTCCAAACAACCTATACTCCCCCAACCCCCCAACCCCCGTCACCCATCCCATGCAGGCGCTGCCGAAGCTGAAGAGCATGCAGGTGGAGGCGATAGTGGACCCGTGCCTGAGGGGCCGCTACGACCGGGCATCACTGTGGCGCACTGCTGCGGCTGCCATCATGTGTCTGCGCGAGGACCCAGCCTTCCGCCCCCCACTCGACCTCCTCGCCCGCTTCATCCGCGACGACTCCTTTGACAACCCCCAGGTGCCCAATCTTCACACGCTCTTTCACTCTCCTTGCTCTCCTTGTTTGAGGCGCCTCAAAGAAAGCATTCCGTCCCCCACTCGACCTCCTCGCCCGTTTCACCCGAGACGACTCATTCGACAACCCCCAGGTGTCCAGCCTTTTCAAGCTTTGCAATCATTGCTGCCAGCTTGACAAGCGCTCACTCTCTAGACTCTATCTCACCCTATCCTCACTCGCTTCATCCACTAGGAGTCGCTTCATCCGCAACTACTCCTTTGACTGCCCTCAGCTCAGGTGCCACCCTGCACACTCTTTCACTCTCTTTCACTCTCTTTCACTCTCTTTCACTCTCTTTCACTCTCTTTCGCAAGGGCTCCTTTCCATTCAAAAGAGTGGGTTACAGCATGGGCAGGAAGGTATTATACTTCACCAGGGGTTCAGCGACAACAGGTAAGTGTCTAGGCTGAGGCCAGAAACAGCACTCTTTCACTCTCTTCCTCACACTCTTTCAGTCTCTTCTCTTTCACTCTCATTCCCACACTCTTTCAATCGCTCTCAATCAACTGCTGCTGTCTCTCTAGCCAATACACCAACTGGGATTCCACATCTAGTTAAGTGTTTTGTGTGTTATGTGGTTCAACGGAGCACACTCGTTGGTGTGCCGCCCATTTTTTTTGGCTGTGCTTGTGGTGTGGCATTCTGGTGGTGTGGTCTGGGTGGCTGTGTGTGCGTGCGTACGTGTGTGTGTGTGTGTGTGTGTGTGTGTGTGTGTGTGTGTGGGTGGGTGTGTGCGTGCGTGCGTGTGTGTTTGAATATATATCTGGGTGTGTTGGTGTGTGCTAAAATATCTGGATCTAAACATTCACTTACTACTGACGGAAATAATTGGCGCGGTTAAAAGAACTGGGGCTGATTGCCTATGCATGCTATAATTATTAAAAAGGACATGCAGCCTGACCCAATGTCCACATATGTTCTTGCTTCCACCATCCCCATGCTCCTCATGCCTTCATGCTTCAACTGTGTTCAACTGCTCATGCATTCATGCATACCTGAATTCCTCCCCCTCCCTCCCACCCTCCCTCTTTCCCTCCCTCCCTCCCTCCCTCCCTCCCTCCCTCCCTCCCTCCCTCCCTCCCTCCCTCCCTCCCTCCCTCCCTCCTCCTCTCCCTCCCTCCCACCGTCGTTCCCACCCACCAATCCATGCCTAACTTACTCAAACTCGTTCTTTTCTACCTGCTCTTGGCCTGCTGTCCAACCTGAACCCCCTCCTTCCTGCTACCTGTAGCTTCAGAGCAGGTGGCGTGAGATACTTGATACGACCACGCTGGAGGGACCCTCAACATCATGATGTTTCTCGCTGAAAGGCTGAAAAACAGAAAATGGTGGGCCGACGCCTTGTTCAGACCGTTTTAGACGAAAAAAATAATCGTGGTATGGCACATGGACTAGTGGTGCCGTGTAATGGAATGATGATTGATAACATCAAAAGTTCAGCTGGTTGCACAATTTAGCGTGCTTGCATGGTGCATTGTTTGTGAGGCAGTTATCGTGTATTTTAAAGCCGGGGCTTTTACAGTAGGGCTAATATGAAATGCAAATGGCTCCAGTCGTATGTTGAATGTAGCTGATTCTTACGCAACCTCAATCAAGTACCATGTAATGTGCTCCCTTTTGAGGACGACATACAGTATTCATATGTATAATATACCATGTTGCAACCTACGCGGAAGATCGCACAAGTGCCGTCATCTCTGCATTATTTTGAACTCTGCTTATCATTTGTAGCTACCAGCATCACATTACTTTTTGAGCAGCCAGAAAAATATATTATTGCACCTGCACTTAACTTGGTGTGTCAAATAGAAGTACTTTTTAGAAGGCAATAAGTGCATGCAATGAGGTAACGGGAACAGGTGTAGTTCTGGATATCAACACCAAGGATATTTCCCGACGTGCGACTCGCTGACGTAGATATCACGTGTGCCACCTGTCGTCATATTGAGTGCCAGGAAGCAAGGGAAATAAGCGTGATCGGTTTCCACGTCACATGCACTTGGGCGTCCACCTTGCTACTGCTGCGATTGGGTCGTCCCTGCGTGGATCACAATCCGCGGCAGCTCCATCACGTTGTGGTTGTGGGCTTGCATTGCATCCTGTGGTGAGTCATGAGGGACCCACCCAAGCCAGCGCATCTTCGTCACCAGGCCTGTCGCTACAAGGGCATTTGTCCTATTTACCCTTGAATTCAAGTGTTTGTTTGAGCCCAGCTCAGAGAATTCAAGCGCTGGCTTTGAGGCCACCCCGTTTACGTATACATTCATAGCCCTTCCCTTTGTATACACTCCTGCTTATGTAAAACGTCCTCACTCTCCCCTCCCCCCGCGCTGCATTGTAGATTGACTTAGGATTCTGGTATACTGCAGCCCTTGGTGTACTTGAACTTAAACTACTTTCACGATGTGTTGACACTCTAGTGAAGCCTTGAATTCAAGTGCTGAATTTTGACTCAACCCGGAACATTCAGTGCTGAAATTAGGCCACCTCAGCCCGCCAAGCAAACTGGCTGGCTCCTCACAATTCACATGATTCGCTGTAACCAGGGTCCCTGGATGTATTTCAGGGTACCCTGCCATATCTGAGTTGTTACCCAGGTTAGCCCTGCCACGGCAGGGTACACATCGAGGCGCACTCTGGAAATGACATTGCCTCGTTTTCCATGTCTGGAACGACATGGTAGGACCTTCCGCGATCATTTGGCTAGGTTTTGTGTGTTCAACCCTACCAATTGATGATTGATGCGAGAGGACAAGGCATCTACGGAGTGGGCAAGAAGGGAAGGGGAGTGGACTGAGGGAGGGGGGGGGGGGGGGAAGGCGGGGGAGTAACCATGAAGGAGCAAGTGGGGACCGACACCAGGCTTCTGGGGTTACAGCTGCTCTAGTGTCGCTCTTGTAAGTTGACAAGCCAGTCACAACGGCTCGGGCAAACGACGAGAATGCCAGGCACTTGACCGGGTTCGAGTTATTCGTTTCACTTATTAGCATTTCCTGTAAGACTTCGATATTTGATGTTTGTGTGGAGGAAGAAAATAAGGTCCTTTGACAGTAAGAAGGGGGCAAGTAAACACCAGGAGGCAGATGACCATGAGCGATGATGGTAAAATTCAGTAAAAGTGGTTCACGGGTCAAAGGGGGTGGGAGGGAGTGCGAAGCAGGTTGCCAAGAACAAGCAATGCTAAAACTATCCGCCCCCCTCGAAAACATCCAGGCTGGGCTCACAAAAAAAAACCTAATTCTGTTTAGGGTAAGTGCTCATATAAACTAATCGTGTAGCCTGACCATACCATTCCCTCCCTTCGCAGTACACATGATGCCCAACCACTGCGCGCGAATTTGCCTGGTCTATTTCAGAAACTCCGCACCCGTGTTTTTTTTTCCAGTCAGTTGCACCCAGGTTATAGGCACGCGGATCAACTGCATTTGGGCGAGAAAACGCCAAAGTATGAATCTTAGGCGCAAAACATACCATGCTGACCCGGTTTGTTCTTGTTTCTTGGCCAGAAACAAGCATAGACCCGAAACCCTGAACTAACAACAACACAGGCCCACCAGAACTGTTTTGGAAAAAACAAATGAGTTACAACCTGTGTTTTTTAGAAGCACCTCAACACCCTGGCGAACTGGAACGAACTGGACGAAATGCTTAGAACGTTTATAAGCCCAAAGCACAACCCAATTAGGGTAAACACAAACGGGAATCAAGTGTATCGTTCCCAAAAAGATTTGCCAGCGGGAGATCTCCCTGCAAACGAAGCCAGAAACACATCCATCCAGAGTGCAGTGCACCTGAGAACACGATATGATTTTGGGTGTTCCCAAATTCCAGAATAGAGTATTAATGGATATGTACCACATATTTGATTGTTTTCGAGATTCTGTAACCTGGATTTCTCATAGATGTTCACTGGTGTGTCGCACCACTTGACTCCCAAGTTTGGGCCGATCTGCAGCCAGCAGTATAGGATGCAGCCTGACGGCGGCATAAAAAGCGAAAGGTTGTTTATCTACCCCAGATGAGAGGATGAATCTTTCAAAATTCTGGGTCGAGGTGGAGCCTTCTGTCGGTTGTCTTGTACAAGGACAAGGGCACATGACGTGATGAGTTATGCCTAGGAGTGTTCCCACGGAGAGTTTACACAGCTTTTTGCAGACTTGGTCCCATTGGATCTTCTGGTTGGGCGAGATTTTCAATAATGCACCACACAGACAACAGGGGTACCACAGAACTTGCTCTGCAAGGAACCACTCGCAAGTAGTGGAATGTTCAGTAGTCGATCGAAAGCAATTATATATATCGCAGCCTCAGAAATAAATTTATCTCGAGTTTCTACACCGGGTTTCGCTCCTCGGGATTTTGCTTCATAAAATCATCTCTCAACAATCTCTCGGACGTGCAACAATCTCTCTACTGTACTGGAAGCTTTGCTCTACACTCGGTATTGAAGAGCCTTAATTTCCGCGAACTCTGCTTCCTTCACAAGACCCTTCTTACGGTGGACGTACAGCCTAAAAACGGAACAAAATTCCTTCGACAGGCAAACTTTCCCACGTGTTTTCCTTATGCGCGATCTCCAGCGCACTCGAACTGAGCAATTGCTCGCTGCCTCCTGCACACCGTTACAACCCCAGGAGAAGCTCATAGGTGCAAGCAGAACAGACACAGAAACAGCACGTACCCGTTTTTTTGTTGTTCGCCCCCGCTGTCGGTGCAGGAATGAGAAATTATATCATTTCAGGATTAAGTATTTTACGGGTCAGCGGCGGCCCAACGTTTCCCTACTTGGTGTTTCTATGGCTGTGTGGCGAGGTGTACACCTACTTAGTGAACTAGGTATTGTACCATTTACAAGTAATGTGCTATTGGTCGCCGTTTACCGCGTTGCGATATTAGTGTTGTATTAGTCGTAACCGACCATGGCGTTTCGGGATAGAGAGAGAGGTAGACCAAACTCCGCAACTTATCGATCGGGCGCCGCAGCGGGCGTAGGGATCCTAGGAGAAAGGCGGGTCCCCCCGTTTTCTACGGGAGCTGGAGTTGGAGGTTTGCACGCTGGTGGCGGCTTCGGCGGCGGCGGTGGCGGCGGCGGCTTCGGTGGCGGCAGTGGCGGCGGGTTCGGTGGCGGCGGCTTC